GGACGCCGCAGCCGTCCTCACTATGTTCATGTACTTAAGCAGCTCTCGCGACCGCGAACCGTGCCTCTCCGTGTAAATTGACACAAAGGTTAGCATAGCACTTGTCGACTGCTCAACCGAGCAGATTAGTATTGGACGAGATTGTGGGCGAGGTGAAACCCCCCGTTTGACTGATCAAAGGCAAGTGTTAGACCACTTGACGTATGGTACCCTTCTTTGAACATATGCCCCAATTCGATAAATTACCCCTTCCAAATTCGCTCGCGCAATGCTTGAGGGATGGTGTAGCCTAGCTCCTCACTAATGCCTTGCCGCACGTAAGGCAGGCCTGGTTGATGGGGCTGAGGGAGATGGGGAGTGGTGTTTATAACAGGAGGGGCAGTAAACAGGCCATTCGATAAAACTCCCATCCCCTCCCGACCCTTTAATTGTGCATTTTCTAAAAACAGCGGCCACGACTCACCGTGATAAACTCAGTACATATATATATATATATATATATATATATAACTTTGCATGGGACCTTTGGGAGACATCATCAAAATAGGTATATTTGGGGGACATTTTACATTTCTGTTCAGACTGCCCCTATATAGAAACCATGTATCTTCTACAATATTAGAGAGTGCTTCTTATAGCAGCATAAATTGATGCTTTTACAATTTGAGTCAGTAAAAAATTCAATTCCAGATATAGCTTTTACATGTGCATAAAAATGTCTCCTTAACGTTTTTTTTACTCCAGATAGCACATTCAGGAGACAGTAATTTTTTTAGCCACCTTTAGGAGACATGTCTCCCTAATACATATTTATGAGCAAAATCAAATAACTATGCAGGTGCAACACGACTGTGTAGTTTTACCTGTTTACAATGTTAAAAAGGTATGAAAGCCTCATTACCATGCACCAGTACTATAACTAAACAAACAAAGTATTTTCTTACTTTAGTAACATAATATCGTATTTCATTTCAGTGCAGTTTGACAAGTACAATAAGCAGACACTTTTGAGTGGAATAAGTATATTAAGGAGACAATTCTATACATCAATGCACATACAAAAATATACATCTTATATGCATAATTGATGGGGGCGATTTTAAAGTTTAACACACGTATTATTTATATTCCAACGCAGATTCCTGACCTAGATTATTGTGCTCATGGTTATGAAACCAAACATATGTCATTGAAGTCCAGAATTTCATTTGATGTAATTATTATATAATACTTCATTCAAGTGTAGTTTGACAAAGTACAATAGGTAGACACTTGTGAGTGGAATAAGTATATTTAGGAGACAATTCTACACAATATATTATATATTGATGGGGGCGATTTTAAAGTTTCACATATATATTCGGAGGCGCTGTGGTGTAGTGGTTTGGGCTCTCGTCTTTCAATACGAGGGTCGCGGGTTCGAGTCCCACTATTGCCCAGTTGCTCATACTCTTCAGCAGGGGTATTTATCTGTGAACGCTGCTCCCTACCCAGGAGTGATGGGAACCTTGGTCGGGTGTTTAAAAGCCCAGAGCGCCCGGTGGCTGCCTCGGCTTGTATGCTCCCCAGGGAGTTGAGAGTGTGCTCAAGATAATTGGGCGGGTTTGCAATGTACCTGATGATCAGGGGGTAATATATGTGCGCCTTGAGCACTCTACAAAGGGGATGCGAGCGCGGTATAAATCGCATGTATTAGTATTATTATCGTGGATGGTACCTTTGGGAGACAATAGGGGGTTTGAGCAGGTATATTACGGAGACAAAATGAATAGGGAGACAATTTTGTGTCTCCCTAACGTTTCAGCATGTATTTTACGTACTTTCCAAACATTATTATTATTATTAGTATTATTATTTTCTAACGCAGATTCTTGACCTAGATTTTTGTGCTCATGGTTATGAAACCAAACATATGTCATTGAAGTCCAGAATTTCATTTGATGTAATTATTATATCATACTTCATTCAAGTGTAGTTTGACAAAGTACAATAGGTAGACACTTGCGAGTGGAATAAGTATATTTAGGAGACAATTCTACACAATATATTATATATTGATGGGGGCGATTTTAAATTAGCGTGGATGGTACCTTTGGGAGACCTTTGGTGGTTTGAGCAGGACTATCACGGAGACAAAATAAATAGGGAGACATTGTTTGTCTCACTAACGTTCCAGCATGTCTTTTACATACTTTCCAAACAGATCAGCTCAGTTCAACACATATCGGTTGCATCCGTTTTATTTTTCAACGCAGATTCCTGACCTAGATTATTGTGCTCATGGTTATGAAACCAAACATATGTCAATGAAGTCCAAAATTTCATTTGATGTAATTATTATATCATATTTCATTCCAGTGTAGTTTGACAAAGTACAATAAGCAGACACTTGCGAGTGGAATAAGTACTTTACGAAGGCAACCTTGCACAATATATTTTGTATTCATTGAATGGCAATTTTGAATTTTTTGTGCATTTATCTTCCGTATTTCTTGACGCAGCTTCTCTGCTTCTAAATGATGATGCATTGATGCTATATATTTCATTTAGTAGCGTTATATACTCCCAAGGGCGACGGAACCTATTTTTATTTTATTTTATTACTATTTTTATTCATTTATTTTTTGTGGGGGGGGGGGGAGGGGCAAAGGCCCCAAGGGACACTATTATGTTAAAAAGGGCACTTCGTGAGGGAGCGGAGCGACCGAGCGTGGGGGGCGGGGGTGTCTCCTTCAAACGGCAGGGAGATTTTTCAATTTTGTGGATCAGAATTACGTAATCTGGTGTATAAAGTAATAAGGTTTTCAAAACCAGCCCCAACCCGCTATCTATGTTTTTGTCTTTCCAGATAATCAAATGTATTACAGGGGGAGGGCGTGTCCCCCCTCCCACAGCAGGGAGATTTTTCAAATTTAGGGATCAGAATTACGTAATCCGGTGCATACAGTAATAAACCCGACCCCACCCCGCTATCTACGTTTTTGTCTTTCCAGATAATCAAATGTACTACAGGGGGAGAGTTGGAAGGGGGGTATCCCCCTACCCCCCCCCCCCCCCCCCCCCCCCCCCCGCCCTGGTTCCGCCGCCCCTGTATACTCCACTAGAAAAAAAAACAAACATAATTCACACAATCAAACAAGCTCATGAGAAACGGACAAAAAAAAATGACAAGATTTTGGCCACAAACTTTCTCAAACATGGTTCAACCAAAAGGTGTTGGTAAATTGTACAGGGAAACCCGGTTATAACGAGCTCACTTATAACGAGGTACCAGTTATAACGAGGCTAATCTTTTGACCCCGATTCACTTATTCATTTAAATGTTAATTGTGAATTTGGCCGTTTATAACGAGGTAAATTTGATAGTCCTGACTACCTCGTTATAATGGGGTTTCCCTGTATTTATGTTACTAAGGATATCTTTTAAATCATAAGATGTGAAACATTTGTGTATATCTTTAAATTTAATGCAGTAACAACACAGGGTTTGTGATGTGCATAGTGCAGCTCTACAAATATTCAATATTTCCACCTTTTCTGCAAATTATTTTGAATATTTTCTTTCCAGTATGTATGGAAAATGCCCTTAAGATAATCTTACTAAAAAGTTACAGATACAATAACAACATCGAAATGTTTGTACGGCTCAGCTTTTCCTATAATACAATAGGAACTAGATGGAACTTCGACTGCATGCAGTCGAAAATGATGCCTCCGTCATAGAGCAATTTTACAAACCAAAACAGAAGAAATTTTTCAAATTCAAGTTCTATTGTAATCCACTGACAGGTTCTCAGAATATCGTGATTACAAGCTATTTCTCATATACATGTATGACCCTTTGATCTTTGACCTCATGACCCCAAAATCTACTCAGTTCATTGGCTCTGCACAAATACATACACGTACATGTCTTGAGTTTAATGGTAATCCATCCATCGGTTCTAATTGATAATGCGATCACAAGCTATTTTTGCATACATAATGAGCCCTGTGACCTTTGACCTTTGACCTTGTAACCCCAAAATCTAATCAATTCATTGGCTCTGCAAGTTACATACATGACCAAAGTTTGGTAGGAATCCATCAGTCGGTTCTTGAGATAACGCGATCACGAGAACGGGACGTACGGACAACCTGAAAACATAATGCCTCCGGCTACTTCGTAACGGAGGCATAAAATAAAACTTCAAAATCTTGATATTGATGCCACAACAAAGTCTAAGTTTGCAGACCTGAAATGACACTTGGCCTTGACTTTGTCACCTAAAAGACTACTCACATGATTGGTGATACATGATAACCCTTATGTTCAAGTTTCATAGAATAGGAATGTATACTTTCAAAATTATGAAAAAAATTCAAAATCTTAACCTGATGCCACAACATAGTATAAGTTTGTTGACCGGAAATGACCTTTGACCTTGACTTAGTGACCTAAAATTCTACTATCATTATTGAGGATACTTGATAACCCTTTAGTTTAAGTTTCGTTGAATAATAGCTTACACTTTTAAAATTATATTACAAATCCAAAAACTTAACCTCGGTTAAGTTTTGATGATTATACCACAACATAGTCAAGTTTGTTGACCTGAAATGACCTTTGACCTTGACTTTGTGACCTGAAATTCTCCTCATACGATTGGAGATACTTGATAACCCTACAGTCTAAGTTTCATTGAATAGGAACTTATACTTTCAAAATTATATTAAAAGTTCAAAAACTTAACCTTAGGTAAAGTTTTTGATGTTGACGCCGCCGCCGTCAACGGAAAAGCGGCGCCTACATATATGTCTCACTTTTTGCTACGCAGGCGAGACAAAAGCAAACCTCACTTTCTAACCATGTACTGTTCATGGTCCCAATGTACAAAAGATATCTCATGGAAAGATAAATCCTAGCTAGAAAGATATGTCATGGAGTTGCCAATTTGCTTTTGATCAATTACAACTTTAAATATGCATAAATCCTTATCCTTAACTTCTACTGATTTGTTTTACTTGTTTTTGTGCTTTGATTGAAAGTAACTTAGGATCAGGATGGACTTCCCCTTTAAGTTTACATATATCTTACCGACTGAGGATGAGCATCGCACTCCTGCATCTTCGGAATGAACACAGTTATGGACTCCCCAACCACTATTGGAGCATGAAGAAAGCATAACCTCCGGGCCATCACAAGCCACTTCATCCAACCAGATTGGCCCCAACCCGGTACCCCCGTCGAGTAATACGTCGACTAATACGTCGACTCCCGCGTAGCCTAGCTGCCGGCAGGCTACGGTGGCATCAGTAGTATCCCAGTTGTCATCACATACAGTGCCCCATTGGCTTTTGTGGTAGATCTCGACCCGTCCCTCATTCGGGGTCGCTCCTCCAGCGAGTCTTAGCGATCCCTCGGTAACTGGAAAACAAATTCAAAGTCTTATTTCATTAGGTTCACCGTTCCACCCATGTGTGCGCTCCAAAAGAGGACTGTTGAGTTTTGAAAGGGGATTGAGAGTAAAGAAAGAAATATTCTTTTGTGTTGTGTTCTTATTTAACGACTACCCTTGACTGTTATTAGAGAGAAGAAGAAAAATAAGGAATAATATTTCTAGGCATTCATTAGTGAGTGGATGAAGTCCACAAAAAGATTAAGCAGAGAGAGACCCAACATTGTGAACAGCTTGATGATTCGGATTCAAATTCCAAGTAGTTTCCATGAAAAATGATGTGCTTTTAACAAAAAGGTCTTCTCCTTTGAATGTACAACATGTTTTGTATATATATATTGTTAATCGTTAGACTGTCTTTCATGTATTATTGTCTCTTCAAGCCCAAGAAGCGCAGACGGAATGGAATGTAAGTATGTAACCATTTAGACCTCCCATCTTCTCTATGGATTATTGTATTTAATGTAAATGCTATTCATGCATGTACCCCTCAGGTATCAGTAAAAGACAGTATTTCCACAATAAATGTCCCAGCCGGGCAAAAGGGGCTGCAGCAAAAACTACAGCACAAAGCAAAATAGAGGATCATTTGTTGGAACCTGTTCACATCTGCTGCTATAGGTAGCATTTCTGTTAAAAGGGCATATAAAACTACATGTATTTTATGGTTCTAGAACACCTTCCCCCTAGACAACCACCCTCCGGAAAACCAACCCCTAGGATAACCACCCTCTAGGACAACCACCCTCTAGGACAACCAACCCTCCGGACAACCACCCTCTAGGACAACCACCCCTAGGATAACCACCCTCTAGGATAACCACCCCTAGGACAAACACCCTCTAGGATAACAACCCTCTAGGATAACCACCCTCTAGGATAACCATCCTCTAGGATAACCACCCCTAGGATAACCACCCTCTAGGATAACCACCCTCTAGGATAACCACCCCTAGGATAACCACCCTCTAGGATAACCCCCCCTAGGATAACCACCCTCCAGGACAACCACCCCTCCGGATAACCACCCTCTAGGATAACCACCCTCTAGGATAACCATCCTCTAGGACAACCACCCCTCCGGATAACCACCCTCTAGGATAACCACCCTCTAGGATAACCACCCTCTAGGATAACCACCCCTAGGATAACCACCCTCTAGGATAACCACCCCTAGGATAACCACCCTCTAGGACAACCACCCCTACGGATAACCACCCTCTAGGATAACCACCCTCTAGGATAACCACCCTCTAGGATAACCATCCTCTAGGATAACCACCCCTAGGATAACCACCCCTAGGATAACCACCCTCTAGGATAACCACCCCTAGGATAACCACCCTCTAGGATAACCACCCTCTAGGATAACCACCCTCTAGGATAACCACCCTCTAGGATAACCACCCTCTAGGATAACCACCCTCTAGGACAACCACCCCCAGGATAACCACCCCCAGGATAACCACCCTCTAGGATAACCACCCTCTAGGATAACCACCCTCTAGGATAACCACCCTCTAGGACAAGCACCCCCAGGATAACCACCCCTAGGATAACCACCCTCTAGGATAACCATCCTCTAGGATAACCACCCTCTAGGATAACCACCCTCTAGGATAACCACCCTCTAGGATAACCACCCTCTAGGACAACCACCCCCAGGATAACCACCCCTAGGATAACCACCCTCTAGGATAACCATCCTCTAGGATAACCACCCTCTAGGATAACCACCCTCTAGGACAACCACCCCCAGGATAACCACCCTCTAGGACAACCACCCTCTAGGATAACCACCCCCAGGACAACCACCACTCAGGACAACCACCCTCTAGGACAACCACCCCTAGGATAACCACCCTCTAGGATAACCACCCTCTAGGATAACCACCCTCTAGGACAACTACCCTCTAGGTTATTTCTAGGGGTGGTTATCCGGAGGGGTGGTTGTCCCAGAGGGTGGTTATCCTGGGGGTAGTTATCCGGAGGGTGGTTATCCGGGGAAGGTTGTTTATAGGGTAGGTGTCCGGATACTGTATTTTATCGGTAGGTGGCAGGTATGTAGACTCGAGTAGAGCAGTAAGCCAGGTGAGCCAGGTGAGATAAAGATTAATAAGAATGATAGCCAACAATTAAATGCTTATGGATGCTGCATTTCTAGTCTTCCCTGACTGGTCTTTATGCGCAGGTTTTGCTGTAAGAATAACAATGATAATAACGATAATGTGTCTAGTTTACCAAGGGTAGCCTCATCAGTATTTATACTTTTCTTTCTGAGGGGCCTGCAATCCTATTATTACCCCGGTACACAAGGGTATAGTCAAACCTGCTTTAGCCATCACCTGTATAGAAAGACCACCTGTTTATAAAGACATTTTTCTTGTATTCCTTCACTGGTGTTTCTCATTGTGACACATGTTAAAGTAAACCTGTCTACAAAGACCACTCGCCCAAATAACAACTACGTTTGTTCTCCCCTTGGCAGACTTTCTATACAGGTTTTGCTAAACTTGGAATTTGGATCCAGTTTAAGGATTTTAGATTTTAAAGCAATCTTACCATTACTTGGGGTCTGACATGTGACCCCAACATCTTCAGCATGACTGCAGTCGTTGGTTCCCCAGTCGCGGTGGGTGCACGATGACAACGACGTCTCGCCCCCAATACAATTCACGTCGTCTAACCAGATTGTTCCGGTTCCTTCACCGAAGGCAGCCTTGGCGTGAGTTTCTGCATTTCCGGAGTAACCCAGCTGCTGACACACCACCTGTGACTCGTCGCTGGCCCATGTATCGTCGCATACTGTACCCCACGATGACCGGTAGTAGATCTCCACTCGACCTTCAGCAGCAGTGTATCCTCCCACAAGCCTCACATCTACACAATGAAAAACAAAATTGCTGTGAAAGAAAATTCAATTAGTTCTCTTGATTTCTAGAGGATTAAACTGGGTCCAGTTTCCCGAAACAGTCATAAGTCAGAGTTCGTGGACATTCTATAGAAACGTGTGTTGATTCTATGAGGCAAGTTTCAGTGGGATTTCTGAGAATTTAGCCCCCTGGCTTGAAATAATTGGACATGACCATGTATGGATAAAATCAATTTAAAAAAACTTTATCTGGCATTCTATAGGTAAATGGTTGAGGAGAATGAAGAGGGAAAAAAAGGATAGCATAAAACCCTGCATATCGATATAGGTCTAGGGTGGATTCAAAAGGCGGCTTCAACCCGGCTTCAATCCGCACTGGGATCCCGTTTAATCACACATAAAACTGCTGGCTTCAACCCATACCACTCCAGCAAAGCATAGAGAGTCAGTGCTAATGCGTATTGACCTTTAGCACTGCATGCTTGCTGTGAGGCAGGTATTTTTGGACCCGTACACAAATATACACACCACACAATATCGCATAGACTCTACACAATCATGTCGATGCAGCTGTAAGCAAAGTTTGACACTAGACTTACAATTTGAATTTTTAAATTATTCTTTTTAACATCAGTAAGTTACAAAAAATGTATTTTACTGCTATTTAGGTGTCATCAATTGTCACTAAAGTACCGATTTTGAATGAAATCAGTTGAGTTTTGTACAGTGGTGTTTGAAATGTTGAGAATCAAAAGCACAGCTTTTACTACACAGCCAGGATAGTGATGCTTCTATGTGTGGCTTCAACCCGGCTTCAACCCCCTCGCGCTTCAACCGGGCTTCAACGCTCGATGCGGATCACTGTGTAAACACGGTAATTATTGACCGCGCGCGCCCGTACAATTTTCCAAATTCTCCTTATAAACTAGCAAAAATCACATTACATAATGTCTGTTACGTACCGTATTGTTCTTGGGCAAGAATTGTCTGAAATAGGTCAGGAGATAAAAGGAGGAAAAGGCTTCCAATAAACAATATTAAACGTAGGTCCATCGTCATTGCCATACGCTGCAACATTGATATGAGGGCTCGCAAGGCCAAGGTACTGTACTGCTATCTATGAGCATTGGGGTATTGGAGAAGTTTACAAACAATTTGAATTTGTCAATTCACTGTGAAATATACAATACAAATACAATTGATGTTAATCCTTACAAAATAACACTATCGACAATAGTGAGAAAAATTATGATGATAATGATAATAACAATATTGATGATGATAATAATATTAATCAAAAACAAAACGATAATATTAATTAAAACGATAATTAATGACGAAATTAATGGAAGCAATTTAAAAAGAAATTTACTGGCACCAGTAAATTGATATCTGAATTAATGAATTACTGAAAATATTCTTGATATCAATTTAATAAATTGATAAAACACAAAAAAGAGAAAAATAAAGTTAATATTGAACTCATAACATGTTTTTTGCACATACTTAAATTAATGAAAACGAAGCATTATTTTTCGACAGAATTTTACTAAGTTTAAACGTGTTTGTACATTATTGGAGTTAAAAAGCTGATCCATTTTCAGTGTATTTGGTCTTTCAATAAAATATTTATCGATGAACAATTTTCTGTCTGAACGAAAGGTAGGGCATACAAACAAGTAATGAAATTCATCTCCAAGCGATTGCAAATTGCACAGCGTACATATAGCCTCATTTCCCTTGGAGTATTTGAATATCTACCAGCTACAATCGGCAGGTAATGATTGCCACATGCACAGCGAAAACGACTTAATATTGTCCGATCTCTTTTAATGAGATCGATTAAGTATCTTTCTAAACATAAAGAATGTTTGAAGATTCGATAGTTAACACAATGCGAATTATCGTACATAATTATACAAGCAGACCAATACTGAGCATGAGAATCTCTCAATCGACGTTCCACAGTTTGTTTGACCCACTCACGTACAGCTAGTATTTTCACAAATTTCCCATAAATTAGACATCCCCATATTGTCCAGAGTCAGCTTGATTTTTTTTAACCAAGGTGCCTGATATATATTCTTCTCAAAGAGTAATTTTAAGATAATATACACCTTACCAGAAAATTTATCCTGTCCACTATGTACAATCCTACACCAGAAGTTTATCATTCTGCTTTCGATATATTTCTCATAGACGAATAGACGAATCGTCTTCTTTCTCTAATGATTTAATGAAACTTAAAAGCTTCCGCGCTTCGCGCGGGAGGGGGGGGGGAACCTGAATTCAGACGAGGATTAAGAGTCGAGAACTGTACAACGAATCGTCTCGTTTCTCTAATGATTTAATGAAACGTAAAAGCTTCCGCGCCTCGCGCGGGAAGGGGGGAAACTGAATACATGTACAGTAAAGGCGAGTATTGAGAGTCGAGAATGGTTCAACGAATCGTCTTCTTTCTCTAATAACTTAATGAAACGTCAAAGTTTCTGAGCTTCGCGTAGGAGGGGGGAGGGAATGAATTTAGACAAGGATTAAGAGTCGATTAAGAAAACGGTACAACGATTCGTCTTCTTTCTCTAATGATTTAATGAATCGTAAAAGCTTCCGTGCTTCGCGCGCGAGGGGAAAACAGAATTCGGACGAGGATTAAGAGTCGAGAACTGTACAACGAATCTTCTTGTTTCTCTAATGATTTAATGAAGCGTAAAAGCTTCCGCGCTTCGCGCGGAAATGAGGGAAAACTGAATACAGACGAGGAATAAAAGTCGAAAACTGTACAACGAATCGTCTTGTTTCTCTAATGATTTAATGAAGCGTAAAAGCTGAATTCAGACGAGGATTAAGAGTCGAGAACTGTACAACGAATCGTCTTGTTTCTTTAATGATTTATTGAAACTTAAAAGCTTCCGAGCTTCCCGCGGGAGGGGGGGGGGAACTGAATTCAGACAAGGAATAAAAGTCGAAAACGGTACAACGAATCGTCTTTTCTTTCTAATGATTTAATGAAACTTAAAAGGTTCCGCGCTTCGCGCGGGAAGGGGAACCTGAATTCAGACGAGGACCGGATTAAGAGTCGAGAACTGTACGTCGAATCGTCTTCTTTCCTTAATGATTTAATCAAATGTAAGAGATTCCGCGCTTCGCGCGGAAGGGGGAACCTGAATTCAGTCGAACATTCAGAGTCGAGAACTGTACAACGAATCGTTTTCTTTCCCTCATGATAAATAATGAATCGTAAATGCTTCCGCGCTCTGCGCGGGTGGGGAAAATTGAATTCAGACGAGGATTAAGAGTCGAGAACTGTACAACGAATCGTCTTGTTTCTCTGGTGATTTAATGAAGCGTAAAAGCTTCCGCGCTTCGCGCGGGAAGGGGGAACTTGAATTCAAAGGAGGATTATTTTCGAGAAAGGTACAACGAATCGTCTTGTTTCTTTAATGATTTAATGAAACGTAAAAGCTGAATTCAGACGAGGATTATAAGAGTCGAGAACTGTACAACGAATCGTCTTGTTTCTCTAATGATTTAATGAAATGTAAAAACTTTCGAGCTTCGCGCGGGAGCTAGGGGGGGGGAAACTAAATTCAGACAAGGAATAAAAGTCGAAAACGGTCCAACGAATCGTCTTCTTTCTCTAATGATTGAATGAAACGTAAAAGCTTCCGTGCTTCGCGCGCGAGGGGAAAACAGAATTCGGACGAGGATTAAGAGTCGAGAACTGTACAACGAATCTTCTTGTTTCTCTAATGATTTAATGAAGCGTAAAAGCTTCCGCACTTCGCGCGGAAAGAGGGAAAACTGAATACAGACGAGGAATAAAAGTCGAAAACTGTACAACGAATCGTCTTGTTTCTCTAATGATTTAATGAAGCGTAAAAGCTGAATTCAGACGAGGATTAAGAGTCGAGAACTGTACAACGAATCGTCTTGTTTCTTTAATGATTTATTGAAACTTAAAAGCTTCCGAGCTTCCCGCGGGAGGGGGGGGGAACTGAATTCAGACAATTAGGAATAAAAGTCGAAAACGGTACAACGAATCGTCTTTTCTTTCTAATAATTTAATGAAACTTAAAAGGTTCCGCGCTTCGCGCGGGAAGGGGAACCTGAATTCAGACGAGGACCGGATTAAGAGTCGAGAACTGTACGTCGAATCGTCTTCTTTCCTTAATGATTTAATCAAATGTAAGAGATTCCGCGCTTCGCGCGGAAGGGGGGGGGAACCTGAATTCAGTCGAACATTCAGAGTCGAGAACTGTACAACGAATCGTTTTCTTTCCCTCATGATAAATAATGAATCGTAAGTGCTTCCGCGCTCTGCGCGGGTGGGGGAAAATTGAATTCAGACGAGGATTAAGAGTCGAGAACTGTACAACGAATCGTCTTGTTTCTCTGATGATTTAATGAAGCGTAAAAGCTTCCGCGCTTCGCGCGGGAAGGGGGAACTTGAATTCAAAGGAGGATTATTTTCGAGAAAGGTACAACGAATCGTCTTGTTTCTTTAATGATTTAATGAAGCGTAAAAGCTGAATTCAGACGAGGATTATAAGAGTCGAGAACTGTACAACGAATCGTCTTGTTTCTCTAATGATTTAATGAAATGTAAAAACTTTCGAGCTTCGCGCGGGAGGGGGGGGGGGAAACTAAATTCAGACAAGGAATAAAAGTCGAAAACGGTCCAACGAATCGTCTTCTTTCTCTAATGATTGAATGAAACGTAAAAGTTTCCGGGCTTCGCGCGGATGAGGGAACCTGAATTCAGACGAGGATTAATAGTCGAAAACTGTACAACGAATCGTCTGGTTTTTCTAATGGTTTAATAATTCGTAAAAGCTTCGCGTTTCGCGGAGGAGGTAGGGGGAACTCGCCCCTCCCTGCACCCCCCCCCCCCCCGCATTACGTCAGTGTTGGTCACCATTACGTACCAATATTTGGGCCCCCACCCGCTTAAAAAATTCGGGATCCGCGCCTGTTTGTAAGTCTTATTAAAACATGACCGCAATGACTTTGAAGAAATCAACTGCATGCCTTATAGGTCGAATGTTCTATATATTATAATGTTTGCACTTTCCCAAATGTGACGTCAGGTTTAATCAGGTATTCGATTTGCATCTGGTATTATTTTTTGTCCTAATTAGTCCTAATTATAACTGCGATCGTGTTTGCTAATAGAGTATAGAGTTGCGAGTGATCGAAATTAATCGCAAATCCTCTTATCCAGTGTTTTTCAACCAGGGTGCCGTAGATCCATTGGGTGCCGCGAGAGAAATTAAGGCCATTTAAAATATATATACATGTTTAGCGTCCCCGCCCGCTTTCTTTTTGGGGGCCCGCCTCATATTTTTTGTTTTTTTGTTGTTGAATTATTATTATTTTTTTTAAATTAAAAAAAACATGAAAAACACTGCTAAAATGGATCTATTTCTGATAAAATTTAAAAAAAAAAAAATGTTGGCGGCCATCTTGAAAAATAGCCCGACTGAAAGGGAAAATTTACCGAGCGGCCATTTTGAAGAAAAAAAAGAAGAAAAAAAGGGCCTCCATATCAATTCCTTTCATAGCAAAAGCGCTCCTCACAATTTCTGTAAATTTGGCAGTTTAACGCTACGCGTACCGCCTTGACCGGACTGTGCGGTATCTGTGCAGTTCTGTGTGTAGAGAGGTCGGGCTGTATTCATTATTTCTTTGGGGTGCATAAATTGCTCTAATTATACGTACGCGTGTAATGCGCAAGTTTATTGTGACGGCACTAAACCCATCCCACTCATTGTTACCCTATTTTCATAATGGTACTGACCCAATGAAATGTAGTGCAGTGCGCTCGTACGCGCTGCGCTGCGTGTGTACATGTACTGTACTTATATGCATGTTCAGTTATATGTGTATGCATAGCATTACGTACATGCATACGGCTAGCTGGCACAAAACCCTGGGTCGGGCTTCTAAAATATGGGACATGAAGCATGATTTGACATGAAAAATGACGGAGCTAAAAATGAATCAATCAAAATGAAATTTATATGTATGAAAAGCTTACGTATCATATGTCATTGTCTGTGATTGAGGATTTACAAATTTGACGCAAAACGCGTTGCTGCAAAGTTAAAGATTGGTTTATTGAAAGGC